ATGAAATGGTAACTTACTATTTTGGGATCTAGTTTCCCAATGTTTGGGTTAAATACTTTAGCCTCAGCAGGGCTCCCCCCCACACTCAAGTGTTTAGTGAGGGTACTCTTTCTGTCCACAACTCATACGGTGTTTTGGGCACCGACTTTCCTAATACTTTATTGAGAATATGAATGGTCGTTTTCAACGCCTCCATCCACAGGCTCAACTATAAGGTGGAGTAACTTATCATACTGCCCACCATATCCATCAGGGTGCGATTGATTCTTTTAGCTACTCTATTCTGCTGAGGTTCGTCCGGTATAGAATACTGGGCTACTATGCCATTCTTTTAGGGTATGACAACCGCAGTACTCCCCCACGGTCAGACTTGACTGTCTTTATCTTTAAATTGCGTTGGATTTCAACTTTTGCCTTAAATATCTACATTTATCCAATGCTTCTGTTCTTTCTTTGATTGGATAAATGTAGACATAACAGGAGTAATCATCTGTGAATGTTATGAACGAATCATTACCATCCATACTCTTTATAGGAAACTGACCATAGATGTCTGTGTGAATAATCTATAAAACTCCTGCACTTTATTTGACATCTTTCTTAATCTTCTTTACATACTTTCCTTTTATGCATTCTCTGTATTGTTCTAAATCTGAGAGCTCTAATGGAGGAAGAATATCATTCTTAACTTGTCTTTCTATTCTCCCCCTCGAAATATGGCCTGAACGATAGTGCTATAATTTCGACATCGCATCGTGAGCTCTCTTATGCCACCATTTCTAGAGTAACACTCTGTCCCTGGCTGCTTTATCAGCTGGGTAGTATATGTCTTTGAAGAGCCAGTAAACTGACTCTTTATCCTATCGAGGTACTCGGTGACCGTGTCACATTCTGGGATTGAGCCCACAATTGCAGGTTCAATCATGTTCTTTATCACAGCCAAAACATTTCTTGTTGGCAGTGACACACTTCCTATGCCTTAAAAGTCATAGGATATCTTTTGGGATTCAGAATCCCTTTCTTTAGTTGCCCAAGTGGCATCATTTGCATGCCTTGATTCCAATGTTGGTCAAAATCAAAACATACAATTATTCTTATACACTAATTTTACATCACCGTTGGGCAGAAATACAATTAATGCATAAATCTTTAACTTTCACAACTGTTCTTACACACTAATTCTACATCACCGTTGGACAGAAGTAGAATTAATGCATAAATCATTAAAATTAACATCTGTTCTTATACACTAATTCTACATCACCGTTGGGCAGAAGTAGAATTAATGCATAAATCATTAACATTACGATATTGTTATTAACAACGTTGGTCAGGAAACAACAACATCATAATCATATCAAAACTCTTTTTCTCTACTTAAATACCACATTGGTTCAAAATAACTAGAGAATCAATATTTTCTTTAGCAGCAGAAAAAAACACTTTTTCTCCAATTAAATACCACGTTGGTACAAATTAACTGGAGAATAAACAATTTCTCTAGCTGTGGAAAAACTTCTCCTTTTCTTGAATTTTACCCACAGGGGAAATTCTATTTTCTATTTCCTTTAATCCATTAATCAATTTCTAGGAAATAAACATTTACTGGAAAAACTTTTCTTTTCTCCAGTTAAATATCATGTCGGTTCAAAATCACTGGAGAATAATTTTTTCTTTAGCAGCGGAAAAACTCTAACTCAATTTCTTGAATTTTACCCATAGGTAAAATACCTTTTTCTATTTTTCTTTTGAGCCAATTTGCATTTTCAATTTTCCAGGAAAAAGAAAAATGCGACACGGGCTCATTCTTTACTGTTTCGGCCCAAAATCGGCAAAACCGGCTCGGCCCACCACTTCGCTCGCGCCCAGGCCTCACCCAGGCCGCAACTTGGGCCTGGGCCGGCAAAGCACCGCGCCCCCACACGCCCGCCTGGGCCGCGACGCTGGCCCGTTCGATCTCGGCCATCGGTCCAGATCCGACGGTCGAGCGCGCATTTCGCTCGGATAAAATTCCGACGCCGCGCGCCCCCAGGAAAAACCCTAGCTTCATTCTTCCCGGTGCTCTCTCTCTCATCGCCTCTCTCTCTTTTCTCCTCAGCGCAGCGCAGCCGCAAACCGAGCGACGAGCAGGCGAAACAGTGGAGCAGTGAACCCCGGCGCCGTCGCCAGCCCCCTCGCCGGCGTGCGCGCTCCCCAGCGGGTGAGCGCGCCACCGTCGAGCAGCCTGGCCGCGGCACCCGTGTGGCCTGAGTCCAGCGAGCAGCACCCCCAGAGTTCGGCCTTCTTTTCCCCGTGCGTCGTTGGTTCTTTGACGGCGAGGTAAGCCAAATCGGCTCTTTCTCTTTTCCCTTTCCCTTTCTTCCTTCTGGGATTAACCCGATTTGGGGATGGGGTCATGATTTAGGGTTAGGGTTTGGGATGGGGTTTCACTGTTCATCTTCATACGCCGGCGAGGTAGCAGCCCTTCCCTTCTTCTCCTTGTTCTTTTCGATTTGGATTGATCTTCTCTCTTTCCGTTTCATTGTTCATCCGAAATCGAGATCTAGGGTTAGGGTTCGGGTTTTCAATTGATTTCTTTTCTTTTCTTTGATTTCTTTTCTTTTCGGATTTAGGGTTCGGCTCTGTTCATCTTAAGGCCGAAACCTTTTCTTTCCCCCCTTTCTTTAACCCAGTTAGGGTTAGGGTTAGGGTTAGGGAATCATATCCGAAAGGAAGTGTTCGGTTCTTTTCTCTTCTTCTTCCCCGAGCTTTCTGCGCGGGTTAGGGTTAGGGTTCTTGAGATCCTTTTCCCCTTTCTTTACTTCTTCTCTGATCCGAACACGGATATGTTCTTTCTTGCCATGTCAGTGTGGCACTTTTCCCGCGCGGTGGCGGTGGTGATCGGGGTTCCAGTGACCTCCGCCACCCCCGGTCCCTTTTCCGTTTCTTTTACCCGATTAGGGTTAGAGTCACACAGAGGCATCCTAGCTCTGGTACCATTGTTAGGATCATGAATGAGTGTACCTTTCTGTGTAACCGTAGATCCGGTGTGAGCCTTCTCACCCTTTGCGAAGATTCACCGCTCTGTCTATGACGCCGCAGCAGCTTGGACGCCGGTGTAGGGGCAGCTCCGGCTCGGTGGCGAGACGGCGGTCCGGTGGTGACCCTACAGTGGTGCGACGGCGGTGGTGGGGCACATCCCGTCGCTGGCAGCACGGCCTTTAGATCGGATTAGGGTTTCTGTGAGTGGGATGGCGGCTCCGTCAACCTCGTGAAACGAGCCCCGATCCCCACCTTCTCTATTTGTATGTGCTGTGCGGCAGGGGCCCACCAACCAGTTAGGGTTGGGCGCCCCCGATCAGGGCGTAGAGGTAAGGGTCCAATAGGCCGTGGAGATCAACTAACAGGTACGTGACGAGGTAATTGATCACTTTGCTGTTCTTCCTGACGACCTCCTCCTTGGCACCAAGATCCTACATACAAAGGGCCCGTTTGTTTGAGCTCCTTCCAGAAGTTGTAAGACGCTAGCTTGTCAGAAAAGCTATGAAAGAAAAATCTGCTTTTAGGGAAATTTATTTTTGAAAGCCGATTGCTTCAGCAGCACTTTTCAGCGAAGGAACAGTGTTTTTCTCTCACAACAAATTAGCATAAGCAGCATCAGGTAACTTTTCAAACTTGCTTCTCAAAAAGAGTCTTTCTCGATTTCTCCACTGCTTTGAGAGTTGTGCAGAAGCACTGTACAAATTAGAAGGCCGAATTCTGTTCTAGTATAAACAAAAACTGTGTATGTAGAACTCTCTAAAGCCCTACTCCGTATTTGTTTTAGCTTAGGATTTTGGGTTGTACCTTTTTGACAATTCTAAGGTGAAACAAAAGGGCAGCTTAATTTATTTCCACACAGACTTAACAAACTAGCTTGCCGGGTTAGGGTTATTACAATCCACTCTCCAATAGCTTCTAAGAGACTGTAGCATAGTACATGTGCCAGGGGAGTGAGGTTTGCTTTATGTGCAGTAATTTTTCCCTTTTTTAGAGATAAATAAATGTGGGCTACAGTGCAAAAGTAAACACATGCTATATATGTACTCCCTCCATATTGCAATTAGAAGTCGTTTAGGACAGGATTACGCTTACCAAGGTGTGCCAGGGAGTGATTAATTAGAGGGTATTTTTCCATGTTTGCCCTTATTAAATAGGTCCGCGGTTGCATTCTTTACAAAAGCGATGCGTAGCCCGAGTGGCTTGTCCTACGTGGCCTGATGCAGGAGATCGCTGGTTCGAGTCCTCGCACCCACGATAATATTTTTGTTGCCTCTAGTGCATTTTTGCATGGCACTGTGCATTTTGCATGCAGGGCTCGTTCGCGCGCACTGGTCGCATGCTGGGCTCGTCCTTGCGCCCGCGTGCACGCTTGCTGGCTCGCTGCTTGCGCTCGTGTTTAGGCGTTGCCGCGTGATTTTTTTCTGATGTCGCGTTTAGGCTTTTCGCTCGCTCGTTTGCGCACCATCGTCTCTATCGTCTCCATCTCTGAGGACAGCGAGGCATCCATCGACGCGGCGTGCGGCGTGAGGTGGAGATGGTGTGCGGTGGCGGCAGCCGTGCTTGTTCTTAGCGGCGTGCGGCTTGACGACACGATTAAATTAAAGGGCCGTCGCATGCGGTGCCCATTAACACAGCGTCAGAAACGAAGAGATGGATTAACTCGCGCGGCGCGCTGGAGCCGAGGCGAGAGGGGCAGCGTCGTCCAAAGTTAACGTCGAGAGCCAGAACGACTTCTATTGCTTCGGATCGGTCCTTTCCCAGAACGACTCCTAATATCGATATGGAGGGAGTACAGTGCTAGTTTTAAGATTCTCCGTTACTAGTCTAGGCAGAATATATAATAAGCACATCTCACAAGTCAAAAGCAGTAAGGAAGACAAGTGGCCAGTATATTCAGAACAAGAGAGGAGGAGGATGCACTGCAAATGTTAACTTTTCAAAAGAGAGGAGACCCAGAGCAAGCGGAACATAGGAAAACATTACCGGTGTCCGACGAGGCTGCTTCGACAGCTGTGGTCGTCGCGCAAGGAAAGCCCATTGAAGGTACTGGTGAAGGCATTTGCTAGGTCTTCAGGTTGCGACAGCTCATAATCAGCTTCAGCGTTAGGAGGTGATCCAGAACTGAATGTGAAGCATGGCCGCACGAATGCCTCCTGTTGCTGAGGAGCAGCAATGAGTCGAGACCCCAGAACATCTGGGGCGGCCCCTGCCAAATTATGAAAATGGAAGCCAACGGCATTGTCAAGTTTCTTTTAGAACATGGACCGTGTAAGGCGCGCGACATTAGTACAGTGTATACGAAGCTGAAGAAATAATCACATAAAACACGCCCTGGCACCTAGAATAGTTGTTTGGTAGGCATAAATAGATATAAAGTGTACAGTACGTACCTGATGTTCCCTTGACGCGATCAGGAATATGTAGTGCACCCTGAACCAATTCTCGTCCACGGATGGTGGTGCCGTGGCGAGCTTTCGATCGGTGCCGTCGTTGGCCATGTCGACGGCCAGTGTCAGGGGAGGTGGCGTGATGGTGGATGGTGAAGGAGAGGTCCGTGGGTAGTGCCAGTGCTGCAGTTGAAGGGAAACGGAATTTTACGAACTTTGGAAGCTTCGGGTGGTTGTCAAGTTCTTTTTGAATGGCAGCTTCTACACGCAAAATATTCAGTTCGGTGACGATCATATCACACCCGACCTCCGTGAGTTGGGAGAGATGCTTGAGACCAAAATCAAGACGACCATTACTCACGGAAATTGTAATATCTGCATGAAAGCCGATACCGAGTTGTTCCAGCTTTGGCATGGATCCAGCTTCAAACGTCAGCATGGGGATATCCAAATCCAATGGATCATTGGTGCCTACCCAGAAATGCCTCAAGCTTCTGTATGGATACCTGTTGCTGATCAGAAGTCGTTGTCTGTCTGTCGAGGGTATGTCTTCAACGTTAAAAAGTTTACTATCGCCAGATTTAGATCGACAAGAACTGGTAGGACACCAAGAATACATTGACTTTCCTGATCCAATTTCTTTATTGTCATATACAAATATTCCATGTTGTCAAGTGACTTCATCCAGTTTGGCACCCTTGAAATGGGATTCATCTGCAAAACAAGTGTTCTTAGGCTAGCAGAGCACCACGGCACCTCAAGGATGACGTCATCTCCATCGAAGATGACGTCATGCCATCCTTCTCCATAATTATCAAATCGTACGACTAAAGTTTGAAGCTTATTTAGCCGTTGAAAAGAAGAAACCGTCTTTTTTATAAGATCCACGTAGCTTTCCTTGTCAATAATACCAGAATTGGAAAGGAATATACCCAGATGCCTCATTTTGGTTAAATCGCCAATTTCTTCAACAAAAACAGTTGCTGCCTTTATGTCAATTGCTACTGAATTTAACTCCTCCAATGCCTGCATGTTTTTAATTCCACTGGGAAAGCAGTTTAGCTTCCAAGGACCCATCAATAGGTTGACAAGTCTTTTTAGTCGAACTATAGCTGTTGGTAATTGGAATATGCTGCAGTTCCTTATGGCCCTGTTCGCTTCTCTTATAATCCGTACTTTTCAGCTTGTTTTTTCAGTCAGAATAGTGTTTTGCTCTCACAACAAATCAGCTAGAACAGTATTTCGGCTTAATTTTTTCAGCGAAGCGAACGGAGCCATAGGCTCAGTTATCTGTAGCGCTCCCATCTGTTCTGGGAGCTCAGTTATCGATGTTCCCCTGAGGCTCAAATACCTCAGCTGGAGTAATTCTCCAATGTTTGCAAGATGATGGTTTTCTAATAATCTCCGACAGTCCGCGAAGTCCAGGACACACAAGAATCGAAGGCCCAACAAGGAACAGGGGAATCCAAAACTAACAATTGACCGGACATTTGCATAGTTTTGGTTCCAAGTGTACGGTCACATCTCCATCAGTTTTACCTTGCAGACTCAATCGACGAGCCTTGATTCCTGGTGGAGGTGTTAGTCTTGGGATACCATGTACCATGTATCAAAGTTGTCTTCAATGGACTTGCACACGATGAAGTCAAGAATTGTATCATGGAGACGACAGCTGTTCACCTCGCCAGTCCAGTCACTTATTTCCTTAGGAAGGATTAAATTTCTATTGATGAGCTCAGTAAAAGACTTCTCTCCCGATTCATACAAGGTGCATGTAGATTCAGCAGGAACGAACCCCTCTGCAACCCATAGCTGTACTAAACGCTTTTGATCAATTTCATAATCTTCAGGAAATATACTAAGATACAATAGGCAAGCTTTTAAATGATAAGGGAGATCAAAATAACTGAGTGATAATATTCCCATCATTCTGTCCACAGTCAGAATCTCTCTCAAGTCCACGGCCAATAGAAGTTTGAACTTTGATCCCACTCTGTGACTGAGTGAACTCCATTCCGTGCTTTGTTAGCTAGCAAACCAGATATTGCAATAATGGCCAACGGTAAACCTCCACACTTCTTCAAGATCTTATCAGATACTTCTTTTAGGTTTTCTGGGCGTTCATTTCCATGCCCAAATATTCTATTCTGGAACAACATTTTCGAGTCCTGTTCTTCTAGAGGCTTTAGTTTGTAAACCCAACCATCAGAAAATAATGAGCAACATGCTTTGGCCACATCATGTATCCGAGTTGTGGTTATTATCACACTACCACAACTATTGCTTGACAATGCATACTTAACTGTGTCCCATGTTTCCACATCCCATACATCGTCGACTACAATGATGTACCTACAACATGATTTGATAAAGCTATTTAGTATGGAAGAATACATTTTTAGTTCAAACAAATATTCCAAGGATAATTAATACACTAAAATGATAGACAGCCAGAATTTACGAAACTCGATTCTTTAAAATATGATAACCTTATACTCTAGTCATGTGTAAGCAATGTAAGGCTATTTGTAGCTATGTCATTTATTTTCACACACTCAGAAATGGTATTAGGAGGAGAGGTATGATTTAGGATTTCTAGAACAAAGGCACGACAAAAGATCTAAACTAGGATTTGTAAAATTAAAACTCCAACATTTAGAAATTAAAACCTACATGAAATTTATCTAGATATGACTTCTTGTAAATATTACTCTCCCTCTTAATGGATAGGTGGAGTTCTTGTTATTTGCGTTAAAAAATTATCTAGATATGCTCTAGGCTCTTCTAGTGCATCGATTCTAACACAAGGAGGTGGCAAAATTTTCCACCCTAGGTTCCTATTTGACAATAGTTTCTTGTTTTATACTTTTAGGCCCCCTTTGGAACGCGTGATTTTTCCCCATTCCTACATTTTTCTTGTAAAAAATGAATTGATTCCCGTGAAATTCCTATGAAGTTCCTGCGTTCTAAAGGGGCCCTATAAATTTGTAATGGCAGCTCACTCAAGAATCTTTAGAACATACTTAGGCAGAAAAAAAAACTATAATACGTACTGGTATTTGTGGATAAAAACTTTGGTACATTTGACCAAACAATTGGGCAGCCTATATACAGGCCTAGTGGTGTGGAACTGTAGTATTAGATTTATATTACGAAAAATATGGTAATTTTTGCTAATTTTTAGAAATATATTGAGAGAGAAATTCTTCATTGAACTCTAATTTATTACAAGTGAAAAATCAAATTTTGCCTTATAAATGCTCTTGGTGATAATTTAAGAAATTTTCTCATTAGCAAGTGACTGATACTTTGTATGTGTACTATGCACATTTTCAAGCCTATTGGACCTGGATAAAGCAACAACAAAGAAAGAGTATTTATGATTTAACCACCCTTTTCCTTCAAAGGCATGAGAGCAGCCAATTTCTTATGGAAAAAAATATATAACAGCCAAAGCTTTGCTAGAAGGAAATTAAAATAGGTTTCTTAACCGAATGGATAAAAATGTTGCATGCTGGAAGCGTAAACCCATGTGTACCTTTTTGTCTGAAGGAAATCACTGATTTCCATGATCAGCTGCTGTATGCTCCCTGCTTCTGTCTTACAATAACGTTGGCCTGTCACTTGGCTGAGAATAGTTCTCAAAATCTTAGCCATGTCAGGATTCCGTGACACCGACAAGAAAGCTCGGCACTGGAACTGATCCTTCAGCTCTTCATACACTCTGTTTGCAAGGGTTGTCTTTCCAATTCCTCCAATTCCCACGATAGAGACTATCTTCGGTTGTTGAGATGAAATACCCCCATCCTCCTTCGTGAGAGAAGATATTACCTCTTGTTTTGGTTGATCGATTCCCAAAAGCCTAGAAGCATCCTCAAATATGGCAAGAGCTCTCGGATCCACTGTCACTTTGCTTGTGTTCATGACAGTCTCGCCGATCTGCTTGTATCTTGCATTCCTTTCACTCACCTCCTTGACTTGGACTTTCAGATCCTGAATCGCCTTAGCAATCCGACGACGGGCCTTGGTCTTGGCCAGTAGGTTCTTGCATTTGTCGATGAAGCCATCTGAACTCATCGAGGCTGTCCTCGATGTCGTAGGAGAGCTCCCGCACCTCCTTCATCCAAGCCTTGTCTTGCGCATCAGGATTGTCCTCTTCCGACCTCTTCAGAAGGAACGCGTGCATGGCTTCGAGCTCCCTAATGAGGAACTTCACCTCACCACGCACCCCTTTGAAATGCTTGTACTCGTCGCTGAGCAGAGCAGCGAGCTTGTCCAGGACGGGGCCCAAGGCCCCCGTCGCTGCGCTCACCAGCAGGAAATCCGGCATGGCTGCTAGCAGAAGAAGCTCTAAGCTTTTGTTCGGTTCAGTTGGAGTGGTTGAGTGGATACCGGATAGGATGCAGCGTTGATATGTCATGGGCTTATCCGTATAATATTTAATAAATTAAATATCGTATGGTTTAATATCACATGGGATTTTGACTGAACGTTTACTCAGCTTATTTAGTTGAAAATTATTCATCTTAATTGAGAAACTGGTAAAAGGACAAAGGAGTGCAACGCGCGCGCGTGCCGCCGCCGCCGCCGCCGGCTGAGCCGTGGGCGTGGGCCGAGGCGAGGCGGGCGGCGAGCGAGCGGGCGGGCGTGGCTAGGTTTTGCCACTTAATCCACATAATCACGGGAGTTTCTCTCCTTTATGGTGGAGGCGAACTGATTACGCCAGTTACCGTCTCTTCGTGTCTCCGTCTCCTGGGTTCCTCTGCTGCCTTTCTCCTTCCCCACCGCAGCCATAAATCTGAAAGTCCTCCGTCAGTCCACTTCTTCCGCTTCGCTTCCGAGAGACCACATTTCAGCCGCCCTTTGGCTTTCCCCGTCCCGTACCTCTGCGCGCACGGAGCAGCGGGAGAACAGGTGCCTCCGGAATCCTCGTCCGCCTGCGAACCTTGCACGGGGTGTGCGGCGATTAGGTTTTTGGAAGTGATTCCGCGACTGCTCGTCCGACATCTTCTTCATGGTGATCACTCGCGGAACCCGTCTTCTTCCTGGTGACTGTTCGTGGGACTGCACTATGAACATCTTACTGCATCGACTGTGGTCCACGACTTCGAGCAACGCACTACGTCGACTAGTGCGAATGGAGCCTCCGATGCCCTCGGCATGGGACCCTCCGCTGGGTACAATCTTAATTCTGTGATTACCGTACTTTGCGTTCTTACTGTATCGATCTGTATGTCATACTTACATGCTGTAGCGTTTGTTAGTGATATACACATGCACATATATATCGTCACAAACCTGCTGATGTTTTATTTCTGAATTAAATTGACTATAAAAATATCTAATTATCTAACAATCCAAAAACCTAATGTTAGGCAATTTTCTGTTAGTGATTTTGCTACTGCTTTGAAGCCAAATAATTTTGATGACAAGAATTTCATGATATGACGTGCTAAGATGATATTATAGTTGACTGCTATGAACTGCTATCACGCCGCACAGGGGAAGCCTAAACAATTTACTCCTGAGGAGGAGCAAAAGTTCTTGGCTGCCGATAACCTGTTTCGAGGTGCCGTGATTAGTGCACTTCATCCTAAGTATGAGAAAAACTACATATCTTGCACATCAGGCAAAGAGTTATGCGATACTCTTGAGGCAAAGTTTAAAGTTTCTAATGCTGGTAGTGAGCTGTACCTTATGGAGCAGCTGTATGACTATAAAATAGTTGAAAACCGTTATGTAGTGGAACAGGCTCATGAGATACAGACGCTAGCAAAGGAACTAGAATATTTTCCATGTCTGTTACCCGACAAGTTTGTGGCCGTCGGTATAATCGCTAAGCAGCCACCTTCTTGGAGGGATTTTGCTACTTCTCTAAAACACAAGAGACAAGTGTTTAGCGTGGCTAAGTTTATTGGATCTCTTGATGTTGAGAAGAGGACGAGAGCAAAAGACAACCGTGGAAAAGGAGTTGAGTCTTCCGCTGCCAATATGGTGCAGAAGAAAAACTCATTTGCATCCCGTAATAAAAAGAAGAAGAACATGCAAGAGAACAACAATACAAAGCCTAAGCAAACTGCTCAGTTTAAAAAGAAAAACAACAAGAAAGGTGGAGGTTGCTTTGTTTGCGGGAGTGATGAGCATTGGGCAAGTGCGTGCTCAGACCGTAAATATAATCAAGAAAAGAAATCAACAAATGTGGTGATTAGAGAGACTGGAGGAGGAACATCTGGGTATGGTAATTCTTTACCTTTTGTTCTTTTCAGTTTGTCTTTCACCTGAGTGGTGGATGGATAGCGGTGCTAATATTCATATGTGTGTTGATGTTTCTTTGTTTATTTTCTATCAGGCCGGTAGGACTGGAGCCTTGCTGATGGGAAACGGTTCGCATGTGCGTGTTCTTGGTGCTGGTACGGTCGTTCTGAAGTTTACTTCGGGAAAGACGGTGCTATTAAAGAACATGCAGCATGTCCCCTCCATCAAGAAGAATCTTGTTAGCGGTTCTCAAATGTGTCGCGATGGCTTTAAAATTGTACTTGAGTCCAATAAGTGTGTTGTGTCGAGACATGGAACAATTGTTGGAAAAGGTTATGATTGCGGAGGCTTGTTCCGCTTATGTTTGCTTGATGATGTGTGTAATAAAGTAGTGAACAATATTAATGTTTCGGATGAGTCGAATATATGGCATTCACGACTTTGTCACATTAATTTTGGCTGTCTCACGCAGCTTGCAAATCTGAATTTAATCCCAAAATTTAACTTAATCAAAGATTCTAAATGCCATGTATGTGTGCAATCGAAGCAACCGCGCAAGCCTCACAAGGCTGCTGATGCGAGGAACTTGGCACCATTAGAACTCGTTCCTTCTGATTTATGCGAAATGAATGGCGAATTGACTAAAGGCAGTAAACGATACTTCATGACATTTATAGATGATTGTACTAGATTTTACTACGTGTATTTATTAAAAACTAAAGATGAAGCGTTGCATTATTTTAAAGTCTATAAAGCTGAGGTAGAAAATCAACTTGAGAAGAAAATCAAACGTTTACGGTCCGATCGCGGGGGAGAATATTTCTTAGATGAATTTTCATAGTTTTGCGTGGTGCATGGAATTATTCATGAGAGGACGCCACCATACTCACCACAGTACAATAGAATTGCAGAGAGAAAGAACCGCACTCTAACTAATTTGGTTAATGCCATGTTATAGACTGCGGGACTATCTATGGAATGATGGGGTGATGTTATATTGACAGCGTGTCATGTCCTGAATAGGGTGCCCACAAAGAATAAAGAAATTACACCATTCGAGGAATGGAAGAAGAAGAGATTAAATCTCTCTTATCTGCGAACTTAGGGTTATTTGGCAAAGGTGAACGTGCCAATAAACAAAAAGTGAAAGCTTGGACCAAAGACTGTTGATTGTGTTTTTCTTGGTTATGCTATTCACAGCGTGGGTTATAGATTTTTAATTATAAATTCTAGTGCTCCTGAGATGGCTGTTGATACAATCATGGAATCTAGAGACGCTATATTTTTTGAGAATGAATTTTCCATGAAAAATGCACCTAGCACGACTGGTTATAAATTAATAATTCCCCATGAGCATGAAAATTTTACTCCGATAGAACAAATTGAGGAACCCTATGTGTAAAATTCTGAGGGAGATGACACTATAGTTACTAGGAAAAGTAAGAGACAGAGGACTGCAAAGTCTTTTGGTGATGACTATATTGTGTACCTTGTGGATGACACACCAACGACCATTGAAGAGGCATATTCCTCTTCTGATGCTGACTTATGGAAAGAAGCAGTACGGAGTGAGATGGATTCTATTATGTCTAATGAAACTTGGGAAATAGTTGATCGTCCATATGGGTGCAAGCCTATAGGGTGCAAATGGGTATTCAAGAAAAAGCTTAGGCCTGATGGTACTATCGAGAGGTACAAGGCAAGACTGTGGCCAAGGGTTATACTCAAAAGGAATGTGAGGTTTCTTTGATACTTATTCACCGGTTGCCCGATTGACTACAATTCGAGTTTTGCTTTCCCTGGCAGCCTCCTATGGTCTTATCGTTCATCAAATGGACGTTAAGACATGTTTCCTAAACGGAGTTAGAGGAGGAGATCCATATGGATCAGCCGGATGGGTTTGTAGCAAATGGTCAAGAAGGCAAGGTGTGTAAATTATTAAAGTCATTATATGACCTAAAACAAGCTCCTCAGCAGTGGCATGAGAAGTTCGACAGAACTTTAACGTCTGCTGGCTTTGTTGTGAATGAAGCTGACAAATGTGTGTACTATCGGTATGGTGAGGGTGAAGGAGTTATTATGTGCTTATATGTTGATGACATACTGATCTTTGGATCTAGCCTCAAAGTGATTAAGGAGGTGAAAGAATTTTTATCTAATAATTTTGAAATGAGAGATTTGGGAGTGGCTGATGTTATTCTTAATATCAAGCTTCTGAGAGAAGGTGATGGTGGAGCAACTCTGTTACAATCCCACTATGTGGAAAAAGTGCTGAGTCACTTTGGGTTTAGTGACTGTGAACCTGCTCCTACACCTTATGACCCGAGTGTGCTATTGAGGAAAAATCGAAGAATAGTAAGGGATCAATTGAGATATTCTCATATCATTGGTTCGCTCATGTATCTTGCTAGTGCAACAAGGCCTGACATCTCTTTTGTTGTATGCAAGCTGAGCCAGTTTGTGTCAAACTCGAGAGATGATCACTGGCGTGCTCTTGAGAGAGTGGTGCGCTATCTAAAAGGCACTATGAGCTATGGTATTCGTTATACCGTACACCCGAAGGTGCTGGAAGGCTATTGTGATGCCAACTGGATCTCTGATGTTGATGAGCTTTATGCCACAAGTGGATATGTGTTTTCGCTTGGAGGTGGTACTGTTTCCTAGAAGTCTTGCAAGCAGACTATCTTAACGAAGTCTACAATGGAAGCAAAACTCACAGCATTAGACACCACTGGCTCTGAGGCCGAGTGGCTTCGTGATCTCCTTATGGATTTACCGGTTGTTGAAAAATCCATACCGGCTATTTCTATGAACAGCGATAACCAAACTGTGATTACGAAGGTTAACAGTTCTAAAGATATCATAAAGTCTACAAGGCATGTTAAGAGACGACTAAAATATGTCAGAAAATTGAGAAACTCCGGAGTAATAGCGTTGGACTATGTTCATACGTCTAACAATCTGGTAGATCAATTCACTAAGGGTCTGTCACGTAATATGATAGTGCATCGAGAGAGACGGGTTTGAGACCCACATGAAATTTACTATGGTGGTATTCTATTCTATGTGATCGAA